ACGCTCATTCCAGCTCCATGCTCATTCCCCCACCGTGCCCATCCCAGCCCTGGGCTCACCCCCGCCCCTGGCAGCCTCTCCCGGCCTGGCCAGACACCGCCTGTCTCTGCAGTGTGCGTGCGTAGCCAAGGAAAGAGAAAAGGCATGGAAACATCCTGAAGCCGGAACGCGGCGCTGCCCGGCAGGGCGTCCGGAGCCGGGCCAGCCCCTGGTCCCGGTGTGGCTCTCCAGGGCCAGCCGCAGCGGGCACGGCCGGGCTGAGCCGCGGCAGCTCGGGGACCTCTGAGCCGAGCGCGGCTGCGGAAGGGCGAGGGGAACAGCGCTGGGGCTCAGCAGCTACACGCGCAGAGACCGGCCAGCCAAACGGGAACCTGCGGGGGGGACTCGAGGGTTCGCGTTCCTGCAGACCCGGGAGGGTGTTCTGGGGGAATGCTGCCACGAGGGAGGTCACAGCTCTCAGTCTGGCCCCTGGCGGTGTCCCCAGCAATGTCCCTGTCCTGGTGCAGAGCAGGGTCACTCACAGCAGCCCAGCTCCTGTCTGGACACCGGGCTGGGCTCTGGCCCGGGCTGGCTGAGCTCTGGCCCCTGGAACCGCAGCCCTAGCCCGAGCTCTGACCCCTGAACTGCAGCCCTGGCCCGAGCTCTGCCCCCTGAGAAACGGGGTAAAAACTCTCTGCTAAATGAAACAAACAAGCCGAGACTGAATCTTTAACTTTTTTAATCAAAAACATACTCTGTTACAGAATTTCAGGAAAGTGAGCTACAGTGTATTATCCACAAACTAGGTCTAATGAAAAACATACAGGAAGCTACAAAGGAACTACTGGGAATTCTGTTGACCGCTTATCAAAAGGCAATGGCTGAAGAAAAGAAACGCTCAACTAGGTTTCCACGCCTGAAAAACCCTCCCAGGGCGAGTTTTGGGTTACGGGTACTTCACAGCTCTCAATCCAGCTGAATCACAGCTTTGGGGCGCTACCAAACCTCCCCAAAAGGACAGAACAGCTCACTGGGGCAGGCCAGCTCCAGCGGGGCTGGGGTGTGAGTGCTGCGAGCCTGCCCGAGGCAGGGAGAGCCGCGGGGCCGGCCCGGGGTGTTCCCGCTGTCACAGCCCTCGCCAGGGGACACTCGCACGGCCCCGAGCAGCTCTGGGTCACCCCCGTGGGGACGAGCTCTGCTGAGCTTTCCTGTTTTCCAGAGTCTGCGCTGCACTGGCTCCGTATGGAGCAGTAACGAGCTCTCTTCAGAGCTCTGTCAGACAAAACAGTCCCAGAACCAAGGACACCGCGGCAGCCTCAGCCCGAAAGTGCAAACCACAGGGAACTGAGGAGAGCAAACTGGGAGGATGGGACTGCATCACCTGAGCTGGAACTGGACAACCGACCCCAGTATGGAAATGGACCAAAACTTATAGAAGTGTGAAAACGCGGGGTGAGGATCCAAGCTGGGTGGAGCCAGGGCTGGGCAGGGACACAGGAGTGAGACAGCCCCTCCTGAGGGGCCCTTCTCTGGAGAGAGCAGAGACGTCTCTGGGCTGGGGCACCCAGGGGTGGTGGCACCCAGGGGTGATCACAGCCGCAGGGGGGTCTCACAGCTGTCCCTGCAATGCTCACCCCAGCTCTCCAGGGCCCCAGCACAGCGCCCTCACCCACAGAAAGGATGGGAGGAATGGTTTTGTCTCTGTCCCGGGGATTCCTGCTGGAGTTCAGCCCTTCCAGTGGGAAGGTTTCCTCTGCTGCACCCAAGTGTGAATGCCCTCCCTCTCCACACCAACAACGATGGGATGAAATCACTAAACCTGCCGGCGCTCATCCCAGCCCCATGAATCCTGCCGGCGCTCGTCCCAGCTGGGCAGCACAAAGGGAAAGCACAAAGGGCTCCAGCACAAAGGCTCTGCGGCTGCCACGGGAGGCACCGAGCAGAGCCCACCCGGGAGCAGCAGGTGCAAGCTGAATAAACCCTGGCTGGTCACCTGAACGGAGCCCTTCAGGGCCGGGGCAGCTCGGCATCCCCGGATCCCTGCTCAGGGGCACAGGGAGCTGCAGCTCCTTCACCAGCTCTCAGACACAAATGCAAGCCTGTCAAGAACTCAGTGCTGCTGCTGCTGCTGAGCAGGCTCCAGCCCATTATCTGCTGCCTTTTACGCCTTGTCATAAATGTACAAAAGTTAATTTGACAGCATATGAAGAACTACGAATAAGATTGTCTCACTTTCTTTAACAGCTGCTAGTGCACCCTTGTGGGAGCTGCGTGGTGAAGAAGATGAATGCCTTCTCAGCTTTTGCTGCCTCTGACTTATCCTGATGTAAATACAGTGATTTCCTGTAATTAAATCACCATTGTTTTGTTCTGTTCTGAACACTTTGGGCCATCCATTCATTCTGCAGGTGGAGACCTCCAAAACACCTGCAAGAAACCTTTCCTTAACCGGAGAACTCTTTCAGACTGCAACTCCAGCAGGAAGAGCACAGGCTGCACCAGCCTTTCTGTTTTGCCCGAGTTTGGCACAAGCACAAGGCCAGCGAGGGGTGCAGCTTTCCTGCCGGGCACAAACAGGTAAGCCAAACCCAAACAGGTTTGGGGCCAAAACCCGAGAGACAAACGCTGCTCTTCCCGAGGACCGGGGACTGCCGCCTGCCAGGGACAGAAGGTGAACCCGTTAAAGCCAGCCCGAGGGAGCCAACAGGGAAACGATGAAATGATGAACATGGGGGGAATGGATCAGTCTCTGGCCGCGGCTCTGGAGCCACCCCTGTGTCCCTGCCTGCAGCGCTCCCGGCTGCCCCCGCAGGAATTCCAGCGTGCGGGAACAGCGACACCCAGGCACTGCCGGAGCCCGGGACTGCGAGGGGCTGGGCAGCAGGCCCCGAGCGATCCCTGCAGGATTTCTGTGGAGGGGCTGGGCAGCAGGCCCCCAGCGATCCCTGCAGGATTTCTGTGCCGCTGCAGCCGCGCTGACAGCGCTGCAGGACCCCGCAGGGGCAGAGGCTGAGGGCAGGCAGCTCCTGCTCCCTGTGTGTGCCAGGAGCCAAGGGCAGGCAGCTCCTGCTCCCTGTGTGCTCCTGCTCCTCCCTGTGCTCCTGCTCCCTGCTCCCCGGTGCGCCGGGAGCAGCTATCCCCAGGAGAGGAGCAGAGGAGCAGGAGCAGCAGCCGCGTTTCCCGGCCCTGCAGGGCCCCTCCTGGCTGGGGCAGCACACATCAAAGCAAAGCCAGCTCGGTGCGTGGGTTTCCATCCTTTATTGGTGCTGTAGCAGGGGAAGGAGAGTGTGTGCCTGCAGCTGCTCCCTGCCGCGGCACGGGGCTGAAACAAGCAGGAGTATAAAAACAGGTTTGCCATCTTGCCCTGAGTGGAAATGGTGAACAGACACAAACCCCAGCGCTCAATGCCGATGGATTGCCGTAGACACGAAAAAGGAGTGGTGCAGATTTGCCACAGTAGGTGCTGGGGGTTGAGTGACCCCAGGAGTCAGAGCCAGGGTGAGCACACGCTCCTGCCAGCACTCACAGCTCCACCACTGCACCATCCCCTTCCTTAGTGTTTACAACTCACATGGTAACAGAAATAAAAATCTAGGATGACTGTTTTACTTTTAAAAACGAAATAATTTTTTGATCAATGCCAACAATGTATGTATGTGTCATCCCCTCACTTTTTGGCAGCTGCTAGGCTTTAACCTGGAAAAATCGTAACACAATCATCAACAAAATAAAGAAGTCTTCTGTTAACTACTGTTCCCTAAACAGAATATCACAAATCAGTTGGAATTTTAAAGTCGTTACAAGGTAAATGTTTTTAACTACTAGAAGGAATTTTCAGATATAAATATATATATAATATATATTCTGCATACAAAAGGCTCCCGTGAGGCCGATCACCAAGATGCCACCGTAGGGAAGGAGAGTTTCAAAGGGAACAAACCCAACACTGTGAAGTCTCTATGAAGCGTTCACCTTCCACTTCAGGCCCTGTATTACGACTACTGAGTTCTGGAAATAACTGAAATCCAAATCCTGCACGTTCAGATGCTTTCTGCTAAAAGAGCAAGGCGGCAAACACATTTTTAAAACCTGTTTTCAGAAGGTTAAGCAGAAGGGAAGTAAAATATATCTTCAGGTTATAAACAGAGGGGTATTTTACAAGGCGGCGGCGGCGGGCGGGTCAGTCCAGGGGCTGGGGGTCGGCGATGGGCATGGTGTGCAGCACCTCGTCCAGCAGCTGCAGCGCGCGGTGCAGGTGGATCTCGATCCAGCACGGCGTCTCCTTGATGCTCTGCCGCGGGTAGTCGGGGCCCCAGCCCTTGACGAAGCTCATCCTCAGGATGCACAGACGCCGCAGGTCGTCCACGCCGATCCCGGCCGCGGCTGACAGACCTGCGGAGAGCGCGGTCAGCGCCGGCTGACACAGCTCCCGACACACCTACTGACACAGCTCCCGACACACCTACTGACACAGCTCCCGACACACCTACTGACACAGCTCCCGACACACCTACTGACACAGCTCCCGACACACCTCCTGACACAGCTGTCTGCCTGACACAGCTCCTGTCACACCTCCTGACACAGCTCCTGACACAGCGACTGACACAGCTCCTGACTGACACAGCTCCTGACTGACACAGCTCCTGACTGACACAGCTCCTGACACACCTCCTGTCCCATCACACCTGTCCCATCACACCTGCCTGGCTCTGCTCCACGCACACCTCCCTGTCACCCAGCCAGGCCAGCCTCATCCTGCTGCATTGGATGCACCCATTCCTGTGCATTTCCTGCAGTTCAGTTTGCACAGCACTCTGCAACCTCCAGCAGGAGCTGAGACACAAAACTCTGCAGTCAGAACCTGGGAATGGGCTTGGGTTAGAGGCAGGGACAAGGGACCTCCCACTGTCCCAGGCTGCTCCAAGCCCCGTCCAGCCTGGCCTTGGGCACTGCCAGGGATCCAGGGACAGCCACAGCTGCTCTGGGCACCCTGGGCCAGGGCCTGCCCACCCTCCCAGACACCAATTCCTGCCCAAGATCCCAAAATCTGTGCCTGCACAGAGCAGATGGGACGGAACCCAAATGCTCTACATGACACAACACACTCAAACCACACTTGGGAAATCCAGCCACAAAATGCTGATTGCTGAGGTTTGCCAAATGCTGCATTTTCAGTGTGGGAACTCAGCCTGGGCACTGCAGGATTAAAACAATAGCACTCCCCTGACACAGCAGAAAGATAAATACAGCTGACTAATTTCAAATCACAGGTATGGCTAAGATAAAAAGTGACAAACTTTCCTCAAAATGCCTTCAACAATTTGCAGGACAGTTGAAGGGAGCCACAGGGCAGGACAGGAACCCTGTGGCACACAGAGCAGCCTGAGCCATGTAAGCACTTACACCTCTAAAAGTGCTTTGGAACAACTGCAAGAACCCAGAACTTAGGAACTAAGACAGCACCAGCCCAGAATAATAACAATAAAGAGAGAGAAAAAGCCACCCCCAGCTTCCTCAAGGTCCTTAACAGTAGATGTTCCTACCCCAGCCCAGGACTCTGCTGCCCAGCGATCCCTGTTGCCTGGAGCATGTTTATGTGAGCTGAAACACAAGCACATGTTCCAGGCTGGGTCTGAGCAGCCAGAAATGCCTGTTTGAAGGAACACAGCGACTGTTTGTGGCTGCTGGACCTCACACAGGGAGCTTCCTGCTGTGCTGTGGGACAGGGAGCAGCCCCTCCACACACACAGCACTGCTGGGCACTGCGGGGCGAGCAGGGACAGCCAGGGGCTGGGCAGCAATGCCAGGGGACAGACAGGGGCTGGGCTGGCAGCTCTGCTGTGCCCAGCATGGCAGGGACAGCCAGGGGCTGGGCAGCAATGCCAGGGGACAGCCAGGGGCTGGGCTGGCAGCCCTGCTGTGCCCAGCCATGGCAGTGCCCAGCAGGGCTCTCTCTGTCTCTCTCTGTCCCTGTGTCCCTCTCCCCCGGGCAGGGCGTGCAGTACTCACTGATGGCCGGGGCGATGCCTCCCACGGAGCCGGGCCCGGGGATGTTGCCGGCCACGGCTGCAGCCTGCGCGGCGGCGGCGGCCTGCGCGGTGGCCGCCTGCTGCTGCATCTGCCGGTGGCACTGCCGCAGGTCGAACACCTGCGACACAAACGCGCACGGGTCACAGCCCAGCAGCAGACCCTGCCCGCCCCACCATTTCCAACAGCCTGCTCCCCATCCCTCACAGCCCATCCTTACAGGCTCTTCTCGTGCTGTCACCACCACTGGCACGACCAAAACCTGCCCAAAGCAGGACCTTGTGCAGAACACCGTCTGAAGGGGGGATTAAATCCCTGCTTCCTTGTTAAATCTGTATTTATATGCCCATTTGCAGGAAAAATGGGCATGTAAATTAAAAAAGCCAGCAAGTCCCACATTATCAAGTGTTGTGGGCTGTCTGAGAGAAATACCAGAAACTGACCCCAGTCCAAGGCTGTGGGTTTCAGTCTGGTGGCATTCTGTACCTTTGCAATCACTATTTGCCACTGACATAGGTGCAGAACGCTGTTTTCATGTTAGAAAGCTCATGCACAGAGCTTGTGGGGTTTCTTTCACTTCACTGCACAGCCGCCTCCAAAATTGATGGTTAAAAAGCCACACCACTGTGAACTTCAAGCAGGTTAAGACAAGGTTGTTTTTTTATGAGTGTGGCTTGTGTGTGTAAGTTCACAGTTGGTCAGAGGCATGTCCGTGTAAGAACCATCTCAAAATTATTTGTTTTGTGCAGCTTTCTCTGATCTCTGGATTACTTCACATTCACAACACTTTAACACACGCCCTAAACTTCTGCTGCATTTATATTTAGTTTCACAACTCTGCCTTTTTTGGAGAAAAGAAACAGACTACGTTCTTTTCTAAGAAACACAAGGCTAAAAATTTTAGCTGCAGTTAATTTAAACCAGCTAAAGCTAAAAATACAAATAACTGCTATCAACGCTGTTTGTGATGAAGTACAAAATTCACTTTTGTAGTACCCAGATGACACCTTCAGTTTAGAGTCGTTTTTGAAGTCACCTTTGGTGTATTTCACCATATGTGAATTACACATGGAACTTTTGGGGGTTCTGAAAGGGAGGCTGGCTCTATTTCAGCCCCTCCCTGCCATTTCTGGGACAGATCCCCCAGATTTCCTCACGGCAGGGGCTGACCCACCTTGATGTAGGCGCTGGGGTAGATCTTGTGCACGGCATCCCCCGGGGCTCTGCCCGCCTCCCTGTCCAGGTAGTAGCTCTGCACGAACACGGCGTGGTCGCTCAGGCAGCGCACCCACACGTCACCCTCGCCCTTGCACTCCAGCTGCACGCCCTTGCCGATGTGCAACCTGCAAGGGAACAGGTGTCAGCACCACTGCAGGAACTGCAGCGCCCCTGCAGCTGCCTGGGAGCACAGGCTGCAGCGCTCAGTGCTCTGCATCTCACACTGTCACACCCACAGCACTGTGTCTGCACCTTCACTGCTCTGCATCTCACACTGTCACACCCACAGCACTGTGTCTGCACCCTCAGTGCTCTGCATCTCACACAGTCACTCAGGAACAATCACAAAGCCATGTTTTACTCCTTTTTTGGCCATCTAAGGCTGTGATTGTCACATTGTGACATTCCTGGAGAGAAGGCATCATTTTCTCCCATTGCCTTTCAAAGAGGAGGAGAAAAAGAAAAGCTGCAGGATTGCTTCCGTTCTGTGTGCTTCCACTTCCAAGGCCGGCACAGGCACAGTGAGCAGGAATGAGGGCCCCACAGTCCCTGCCAGCCCTCCCCTGCTCCTCTGGCCAATCTGTGTGCTGCAGCCATTCCCAGATCACCCTGAGGTGGTGTGGAGGCTAATCCCTGAGCTGCACACACAGGGGCAGGAGGTACAGCCTCACTGCCCAGGCACGGCCCCTGCGAGCAGAGAACAGGCACTGCTACAGCAGAGCTCAGCTCTGAACCCCCTCCGGAGGGCTCAGGTAAATCACACAGACCCCCTGCACACTCCCAAACTCCAGGGGCAGCCAGGACCCGGTACCTCGCTCTCTCGATGGCTTCTGTTCTGTGCACGTTGGACAGCTGGCCCAGGCAGAAGCGGTCCCCTCCGGAGGGATCCACGTACCCGTCCACGGTGACAATGGGGCAGCTGGAGGGCACCTTGAACGTCTCCCCGACCTGCACGTCCATCTCAAAGTAGGCGATGGAACACCAGTACTCTGGAGCTGAACAACAGACACAGTTAGCCGCCTGAAAGGCACCAGGGAGCTCTGAAACCACCCCAGACCATCCGTTCTGCAGCTGCCTTCGCCAGGCACACGAGAGGGCACACCTGGACACAGGCAGGTCTGCTAGCCCCCAGAAACACCGCCTGCCACAGCAAACATGGCTTCTCTTCATTCCAGCACAGTGCCTGAGGTTGTTGTCCTTCAGCTCGTACAAGTTTGTGTGTGGTTTACCATCCCAGGCAGATTTGGTGAGCCATCTGCATCCCTGCAAGCCAGCCTTGCACACGGGAGTAACACGTGTGTGCCCACGCATGGCTGGGCTGGACAGACCAGCTCTGAGCCAGCCCTGGCTGCACACCAGGGTGATCCCTCTGTGCCTCTGAGCCAGCCCTGGCTGCACACAGGGTGACCCCTCTGTGCCTCTGAGCCAGCCCTGGCTGCAGGCATGGGGGTGATCCCTCCAGCCAGGCAGGTCTCTGTGCCTGCCCTCACTTTGGAAGGGATCATCAGCTTCCCCGGAGCTGGGAAGCAGGACTGGGGGAAGAACATCAAAGATCTCACACTGATCAGGGACAGCACAGAACAAGGGGGCACGAGCCAAGGGAGCAGAACAAAATGGCATGTTCTGAAAGCAAAGAGCTGCCTTCTAACCCCTTCCATGCATTTGGGAAAGAAAAACTGGCCAGAAAGGAAGGATGGCTGCTGCAGCAACCTGCCTTGTGAGGAAGGAGACCCTGACTCCCTGGGCATTCCCCTGAATCCCAACCAGCCCAGCAGGCAGTGAAGGCTGGCCAAGCACACCCGGAGGCTTCATACACAAGTGTCAGAGTCAGTCATTGCTGTGCCACCCAGAGCAGCTGCCTGCCACACTCCTGGCTGCTGGGTGCTGTGGTTTCTGTGTCTGGACATCCCAAAGATGCCAAAAGCTCCAGTCACAGAGGGTTCTGCTGGCTGCAAGGGGCCATTTCCACGAGAGAAAAACACAGCTGGGCCCTGCCTGCCGGGGAGCACCAACACATCACGGGATCCCAGAAGGGTTTGGGTTAGAAGGGGCCTTAGGGCTCAGCTCATCCCAAACCCTGCCATGGGCTCCAGGGTGCCCCAGCCTGGCCTGGGACACTCCTGGGCTGGGGCAGCCACAGCTGCTCTGGGCACTGAGGACCCAACACGACGAAATCAACAGTGTGAAAGAGACACCAAACAACGTGAAACGCAATTCAGCTGCAGTTAAGTTCACCCAGCAGTTATCAACATTTAATACCCGGCACTGCTGTACTATCTGGACAAAAACAAGCTTAATTTTTTGGCTTTTCAACTATGTAGCTCTCCATCTGCAGGGAACAGTGCTACTGTCATTAAACACAAAATATCACCTTGCACCTGCAGCAGAGAGAGCTTCTACAGCAAGAGAAGCCCCTAGGAATGCCCAGGGAGGAACAGCAGCACCCAGACGTGGGAAGGACATTCCCTTGCTGGCTGTGTGTCCTGGCGGGGCTTGGCACAGCCCCAGACACACCCTGGGCACACACACACAGCACACAGGGCTGCTCTCAGGGCTGCACCAAACCCTGCTCACAGCTCGTGCCCCAGGAGACACCCCAGACAGAACAGGGTTCATGGAAACAAGGGTCCTCTCCTCCTCACAGCACCAGCACACCCCTCACAGAACTGCACTTCGTGCCAGGCTTTACTCACCAGGATGGTTTGATATGGGAGGCTGGAATGCGAGTTCGTTGTGAACTGGCCCTTGAAAAGAAAACATGCAGTTTGTTTCACACAGACAAAAACAAGGTTTTCTCCCCCAGACTGCTTTCCTATGAAACCACCCCTCCCTAGCTTCATCCAGCACAGAACAAGCTGCCCAGCATGCTGTGGACTTGATCGTGAGAAACAACCACTCAAGGTGGAGAAAAAGCCTCAGGTAACACACTTTCTAAAGAAAAATAGGCTGTGCACAATCGTGGAGTCAGATTTTTCTGTGCCCTCTAGGAACCGCGTCCCTGGAGGCAGCAGGACAGGCAGGGAGGACTCAGACACAGCACTGCAAGCAACAGCAGCTTCTGCACCGAGATGTCAGGGCAGGCACGGCCTCGGGAGGTGCCAAAACACAGCCAAGGAAAGCTCAGTGTGGCATCAGAGCCAGGCAAGTATCAGTTCTGGAGAGACACAGGCGCTGAAACACATACACAGCCCATCCACAGCACACAGTGCTCCTCACATCCTGCCATCCCTGACAAACAGCACCCCGAATGAAGGGATCCTCACAGAATGAAGGAATTGATCTGAATAACCGTGTCCAAACCACAGCTTTACAGACAGACACAGGCTGGAAGGACAGTCTAAGGTTAATTTACAGTACATTCTCCCCTCCACTAACAACACCTGCTGCATACAGTGATCTATACCAGAATATGTGCTCTATCTTCTAATACAGAATATATATTATATATTTTAATATCAGGGAACATTCTAACAAAAACTGTACTAGAAAACAAAGAACTGTTCAAGCGTTTTGCTACAAAATTTTGAAATCTTTAATTTGTGTGGCAGTTTTTTTAACAACTAAAGCCCTATAATGCATTTCCTGTGCTAGACCCCTACAACAGAAGCTTGACCACTTTTTTTTTAACCCATCCTGTACCCTAAAATAATAGATAATATTTTTTTGTCCTACTTCATATGTGAAGAATATTTTCAAATCTGTGTGCCAACGCACTCATGAACTGAAAATACTTTACTGTGCAGGGTTTCACTAAGTTCTTTAAAGCTGGCAGTTTTTAAAGTGTGCACGGACACATCTTCCAAAGCTTAGCATGACTTCAAAACCTCTGAAAAACAGAAACAGGCAAGAATTTCCAAGTTTTGAAAGAAAAAGCCATCCAAACACCACATAGTGAATGAGCTTCTTTTTGTGCTCAGCACGGGCTTTGCAGGAGAGGCTTGGCCAGGCAGCGCTGCTGGGTTATTTTGGTGTAACAGAGTGATTTCATGTGCCACACTGAGGTTTCCCTGCAGCCCTGAGTTATTTTGGTGTAACAGAGTGATTTCATGTGCCACACTGAGGTTTCCCTGCAGCGCCTGGGTTATTTTGGTGTAACAGAGTAATTTTGTGTCCCACACTGAGGTTTCCCTGCAGCACTGCTGGGTTATTTTGGTGTAACAGAGTGATTTCATGTGCCACACTGAGGTTTCCCTGCAGCGCCTGGGTTATTTTGGTGTAACAGTAATTTCATGTGCCACACTGAGGTTTCCCTGCAGCTCCTGGTGGCTGCAGCAGGAACAGCCCCTGGGGCTGGCTCCCAGCTGGCAGCATGGCTGGGGCAGAGCACAGCCAGAAACGAGGGGTGAGAGGGCAGAAATGAGGGGTGAGAGGGCAGAAATGAGGGGTGAGAGGGCAAAGGAGGGGGGAGAGAGGGCAGAAATGAGGGGTGAGAGGGCAGAAATGAGGGGTGAGAGAGGGCAGAAATGAGGGGGGAAAGAGGGGTTCACAGGAAGAAATGAGGGGGCTCTGAGGGGTGCACAGGCAGATGTGAGGGTGCTGTGAGGGCAGAACACAGGCAGAAATGAGGGGGGTGAGAGGGGTGAACAGGCAGAAGTGAGGGCAGCAGGGCTGAGGGCAGCAGGGCTGTGAGGGCGGGCTCCTTACAGTAGTGTCCGGGGTGCATGGGCGGGTGGTGCTGCAGGTGGCCGTTCTGGTGGTGCGGGATGCTGGGCGTGTAGGCGGCCGTCCGGCTCCCCGTCCAGCTGGTGGTACTGTCTGCAAAGACAAACCCGCCTGAGGCAGCCTCCCACGTCCCCCTGCTGGTCCTCTCCTGCTCCTGGGCACTTGGAAACCGGGCTGAGGAAGCTGAGAGGCGCAGGTGTGAACGGATGGATACTCACTGTGGTGGTAAGTGGCTGGCTGGGCTGTGAACCCATTCTGCTGAGCTCCTGGCTGGGGCCCTGAAGCAATCTGTAAGAGTCCATCACTATGGCTACCTGTCAATATACTGGGAGGTTGACCTGGTAAAAGAACACACTACCTATTCATGAGCGTTCCAAAATGTTGATTAAGAAGAGCTCAGCACTACTGGGTAGGAGAAACACCCCGCTGAGGGCACTGCAACACACAGCTGCCACAGGCTTGGTTTCAGCACTTCTCTTCCACCCTCCAGGAAACGCGAGGCAAAATGCTCTGCATCAGGTAACTCTGACACCCCTAACGTTGTTCAGGAGCAGGAGAATGCAGAGAACTCTGTTCATGGCCCACGTCTTTGTCCTGGTCAAGCTCATCCTTCAGGGTGAAGGGAAGAGGAGACGTCTCATCTTTTACAGGGTAACAGGGCTGGAGTGGCTCAGTGTGAACCCAAACAGGCCAGCAGCAGGTCCAGCGAGCTGCTTGCTTTCACCACGTTTTAACTACTGCTCCTAAGGAGGACACTCACTCACATTTACGCTCCTCCAAAACGTTCTGGGCAGAGTTTCGTTTTGATAAACACTGCTTCAATAAAGCTGCACACAACACTGCCCTCAGAAAGGCCCTGTGTTTTTTTTTCCTCCTCTTAAATAATTATGTCAAGAATTATCTAAGATTAAAACTACAGATATTTCAGAACAGGTTAACAGAATTTGACTGCAAAAGGCTTTGGTTCAGCCATTAACACTAAACTTATCAACAATTTCACAACTACACTTGCACTCTCAAACTGGTGTGGCCAGCACACTTTAACACATTGAGAACTTGCAGTAAAACACAAAAATCAGGTTTTTTTCACATCCACTTGCCTCCAACAATTATGGCACTGATGAGAAAAGGTTACTGACTATAAACTGTGGTGCAAAGGCAGTACAATTAACTACCAACACCCTTTTCATCTCTGCTGGAGACAAATAAAGACATAGTGATGTTACCAAGATCAGTACTTTTAGCCAAAATTTCATCAGCTAAAATCAATGAGCACTAAAACACCGTGCCACCAGAACTCAGGTCTGGTAATGAGATCAGCAGTGCTCACACACCTTCTGTGTGAAACCTCCCCAAACTGGGGATGCTCTGAGTGCCTTGCTGTCCTGCTGCACCAAAGGGTGGCTCTGGTGCTGGACACCAAACTCTTCCACTTGCACCAGACACACGGATGGCATCAAAACCTTTGTGGCAGCACTCCAACAAACTACGGAAATATTAACTGGGGCTGCCATTATAAATCATAAATATTAACTGGGGCTGCCATTATAAATTATAAGTATTAACTGGGGCTGTCACTATAAATCATAAATATTAACTGGGGCTGCCATTATGAATTATAAATATTAACTGGGCTGCATTCTGGCAGCACAGCAGCCACTACAAAAGCAGAGGTGTTAAACTGGAACACCAAGGAGCTGCCTGAAGGTCCCCTGGTACTGCCACCTCACAGCACAGCACTTGTTGCTCTGCGTGCTGCTCAACAAAACTGTGATTTCCAGGGCAAGGACAGAGTGACAGCCGCAGTGCTCTGCCAGGGTGAGCTGCTGTGACCCGTGTCCCAGGCAGCACGGGTGGGACAGGAAGGTCACAGCTCTCCAGGCAGCCCTGGTGGCACACAGGGAGCAGCCAGCAGGCCCACCCAGCCCCCGGCAGCCCGGGACCTTACTTGTGGAGGCCACGGGAATGTTGGGGAAGTTGGTGGTGCTGGTGGTGCTGGCCTCGGCGGGCGGCAGCAGCGCCGGCGCGCTGTAGGGCTCCGAGGAGGCGCGGTTGCTGGGCGGGTGCTGGATGGTCTGCACCGAGTGGCCCTCGGCCGACGACAGCGACGGCTGCCCCTCGTAGTCGTGCACGTACTCGTCCTTCACCAGCATGCTGGAGGGAGCTGGGGGACAGCGCGGGTCACACAGGGCACAGGGAACAGGGACACACAGCGCGGGTCACACAGGGCACAGGGAACAGGGACACACAGCGTGGGTCACACACACACAGCGCGGGTCACACAGGGCACAGGGCACACACAGCGCGGGTCACACAGGGCACAGGGAACAGGGACACACAGCACGGGTCACACAGGGCACAGGGAACAGGGACACACAGCACGGGTCACACACAGCACGGGTCACACACAGCAGAGGGAACAGGGACACACAGCACGGGTCACACAGGGCACAGGGAACGGGGATACACAGCACGGGTCACATAGGGCACAGGGAACAGGGACACACAGCACGGGTCACACACACACAGCATGGGTCACACAGGGCACAGGGAACGGGGACACACAGTGCGGGTCACACAGGGCGCAGAGCACGGGCACACACAGCGCGGGTCACACAGGGCACAGGGAACAGGGACACACAGCGCGGGTGACACAGGGCACAGGAACAGCATGGGTCACACATGGCACAGGGCACACACAGCAAGAGTCCCACAGGGCACAGATAACGGGCACACACACACACACACACACACACAGAGCCCCTAGAGCAGCAGCCCAGCCCCAGTGCAGGAGCCCCTGCTCCCCAGCCCGGCTCTGCACACACACAGCACAAGGGAAAATTGTATTTCCTTCAGGCAGCCGGGCCTGTGCCCAGGCAGCAGCTAACCAGCCAACTCCAGGAACACAAACAGGGCACACACACAGAGCTCCCACGAAAAACACACATCTGTGAACATGGCACGTACACTCCATGCATCCCTGGGGTAATCTTAGGCAACTCCCACTCAAACTGAGTAGAGAATCAAATCAACATTCAAACACCACAGGAAACAGTTCTACATTCAGCAGCGCAGCCAGTAATTCAAACTATTCCACATGCAGCACTAGGGAATTGCCACTACAACAATTTATGTCCATGCTTGCCACTGACTCCTACACACATCACCTCCCGTGCTCCTTTTTGAAGCAGACTAAATATGCCAAGACCAGGAGCAGGACAAGGGAATGCTTATGATGTATTTAGCTGCTGGTGCTAAATAATGACATAATTTAACAATGTGATTCTGTACAGAAGGACAATTTTTCAGAAGACAGGTGACAATGCATATCAGCAGAGATGAGCACCTTCATTACAGCTTGTCAAGTTAAGTTTGTTGGGATGTTTGGTGGGGTTTTTCCCAGTTCATTTTTGCTTGGATACTTTTAATAATGTGCTAAAATCACTGGATCACACAAATTTCTTCCTCCATGAATTTCCTCTGGGAGGAGAATAAAACAGGCTTTGAAATAAAGCAGTCACCAGCAGTGGAATCTCAGATTTCTGATTAATGCTCATGCGAGATTTCATGTCCAATTTCTCTCAAGCTTCAGGGAAAACACGGATATCAGACTCCTTCATCCAACTGCAGAATTAATTACAGAATTTCCATTCTTTCCTTCTTACTAAATCACATTTAGTGTGCCCAATCCAATTAATTAGCATATCATACAGGTGCACGCAGCTTTGGGTGCCTTTTTTCACTACCCAGCAGCACTCAGTGTGGGATTTTTGGTTTTGGGTTGGGTTTCACAGGGGGAAGTAATGAACGCAGGGTGTAGCTGGGGCCTGTGCCCAAGGGATTTGTGGATCCTTGCCCCAGACACGTTCTGAGGAGGTTTTTGGGAGGCAGAGGGACAAAAGCAGCCCGTGCCCACAGGACACAGCACAAACACAGCCACTCACCTGAGCTCTGCAGCGTCAGTCCCGAGAGATCTGTGAAGGGAGAAAAGGGGGCACAGAAATGATTCAGAGATCTCACAACACAATTTACCAGCCCTTGAAAGCCAGCACTGCAGACTGTGCTCATCAGACCCCTTGCACCACAGACCAGCCCTCTGCTCACTGCTCCCAGGGTGCACAACAAGAGCTAACCCAGAGAAAGGCTGAAACAGCAGCCACAAACTCGCCCTTCACATCTGGACAAGGGCAGCACAGTAACGCACTGAGAAACCCAAGAGCAACTTAAAACCAGACCACTAAAAGTGAAATGTTTCTGAGTGGGGCAGTGTTTCCCACAGCCACCCCCAGGGCTGCACTGTGACCCTCAGTGTGGCACTCACCGATGCCAGGCGATACGACGCGCTCATAATGGTACGGGTTTACACACACACTGTCACACTTTAAGTCAAAGGCATACTGACAGTATTTAACGTGCTTGAGTTCATTTTTGTGAAGATCGGGCCACCTCCAGAGCCGGGCGTAGATGACGTGGGGGAATCCCTTGCGGCCAGCCACCTGCAAAGGCAGACACAGAGCTGGTGGGGAGCTGCGCCCCACGCAGCCAGGAGCACACGGGGAGGGCACCAACAGCACTGCGCCCTCCCTCCACCACCAAAATCCATTTCAAAAAAGTGTGCACAGCTCCTGCACGGCTTCCGTGCCCCGCAGAAACAAGTTTCTGTCAGGGTTCTGCCACAGTTCAGTCAATGCTGTGATTCTTAGGTAAGAAATGCTGGGTACAAAATGGCAGAAGCAGAACTTGTGCTCCAGGTACTAGGTATGGTCACCTTCCCCACCCTGGATGTGAAGGGGCTTTGCCCCAGAAGAAGAGGAACGTGGTGCTAAGATAGGAATTCACCGTCAGGAATTTACAAGCAGAAGAATGCCAATCCATTAATATAAATAAATAAATAAACAAACAAACAAACAAATAAATAAATAATTTGAAAATGCCTCTAGGGTAGGCATTTTTAAATTATTTTATTTAATTTTTAAATTATTTAAATTTTAAATTATTTATTTAATAGAAATAATTTAAAAATACCTCTAGAGTAGGCATTTTAAAATTATTTTATTTAATTTTTAAATTATTTATTTAATAGAAATAAATAAAGAAATAATTTAGGAATGCCTCCAGAGTAGGCATTTTAAAATTATTTTATTTAATTTTTAAATTAATTAAATTTTAAATTATTTATTTAATAGAAATAAATAAAGAAATAATTTAAAAATGCCTCTAGGGCAGGCATTTTAAAATTATTTTATTTAGTTTTTAAATAATTTATTTTTAAAATTATTTCTTTAATAGAAATAAATAAATAAATAATTTTAAAATGCCTCTAGAGTAGGCATTTAAAAATTATTTTATTTAATTTTTTTAATTATTTAATTTTTAAATTATTTATTTAATATAAATAAATAAATAAATAAATAAATAAATAAATAAATAAATAAATAAATAAATAAATAAATAAATAAATAAATAAATAAATAAATAAATAAATAAATAAATAAATAAATAAATAAATAAATAAATAAATAAATAAATAATTTGAAAATGCTCTAGGGTAGACAGAGAGCTATCCAGCCACCAGGCCGTCTGCCCTGGGGGCAGGAGATGACAGCCTCAGCTGGACAGGGAGTGAGTCCCAACCAAGCCCGGCCAGTGCAGTGCCCAGGCAGGGAGCCCGGTGCTCAGTGCAGAGCAGCTCTGAGCTGGCCGGGCACACAGGGGCTGAGCACACAGGGGCTGAGCACACAGGGGCTGAGCACACAGGGCTGAGCACACAGGGGCTGAGCACACAGGGCTGAGCACACAGGGCTGAGCACACAGGGGCTGAGCACACAGGGGCTGAGCACACAGGGCTGAGCACACAGGGGCTGAGCACACAGGGGCTGAGCACACAGGGCTGAGCACACAGGGGCTGAGCACACAGGGCTGAGCACACAGGGCTGAGCACACAGGGGCTGAGCACACACGGCTGAGCACTAACGGCTGAGCACACAGGGGCTGAGCACACGCGCCTGCTGCTCCTCCTGCAGGCCACGGCAGCCGCTGCAGGCACGGCCGGGCAGGGACAGAGCCCCAGCGCTGCAGCACTGCAGCAGGAGCCCGGGCAGCAATGCAGCAGGAACCCGTCTGCCACTGACCTGCAGCCTCCCGTCCAGCGTCCTCTGTATCGTAACACACTTGCTAGGGTGAGCTCCGTTTGTGGTTATAGCTGTAATCAGAGAATCCAATTCATCTTTTTTCTCCTTTAGCTTTTTAACTAAACTCTCAATTGCGCGCTTGGCGAAAGTCTCGCTCTCTCCGCCTTGTCGATGGCACATCAAGCTGTGAACAATGCTCAGACAAGCATCATTACTTGTTGGTGTGTTAGTAATAGACATATTGTCCATCTGTCACAGCTTTTTCTTTCAGATCAAATGTCAGTTTTGGGGGCTGTTATGACTTTCAAGCTGATGAACAAGGGATGATCCAAGTTAAGTGTTAGATGTATTGTCTCTTGGTAAAACCTAGGAGGAAAAAATATCTACATTAGAATTGTTTTTAACAAATCGCAGGTCATGTTTCTAAGGAAGCCTGTGGCTTTTTTTCTTCTTTTATTTTCAAGCTAAGTGCAGGATATTAAAAGCACAGGAAAGAACTGCATTGCTTGTCCCATGACAGCTAAAACATGCCTAAGGGGCGGCCTGCACAGTTTTAGATGTAAGATTTATTCTTCCCCTAGTAACAATATTTAAATAAAGGTTACCGTTTGCACGCACAGTACGTGCACACAGAAAGGCAGGGATCCTTAGATGAATCAGGAGAGCAATGATTTCCTGGGTTTCACTGGGTGGAAGCTGCAAACACGGGGTGGGAGTGCAGGGGGGCTGATGTGCACAAGCCCAGAGCAGGGAGGAGGCACCGGGACACACCAGGATCACCTCGCCACCCAAAACTTGGCTGAGTACCTGGCTGCTCTTCAATACCCACTGAGGTGACCCAGGATCATGTGTGTCTGCGGATATGAAAACCCCAGCATTTGTCTTTCCTGGATCAAGACAGAGGCACTCAGAAATCCCCTTCCCCCTGGTCTTCCTCAGGGAAGGAGCACGTGCTGCCAAAGAGCTGCTCCGGCTCTTCAGGCAACTCTGGCTTCATGCAGTCACCAGCCAAGGCATTTCCACCGGCTCTGCCTTCCCTAAAACACTGGCAACAAACACGCAGAAGGGATTTTACCACGTTCTCTGAGTAAGCTTAAAACACCAGCCTTTCCGAAAACCACCGCGTCATTCCCGACCGTGTAAATAAAATATATCTGATTTCAGAAGTCCAGGGAAAAACAAGCCTGTCACTTTATCTGAGGAGACCTGTTACTGCACTGGAATTTTCCATGTTATTAGAGGCACTGAAGTAGCAGCTATTTATTGGAAACAAATGTGTTGCACAAAAATAAGAGCGTGATGTTAATTTAGAAAGTTATGGCATCACACAGTGTGACCACACGGCTTCCCCCTTGTAAAACGAATGCTGTTAGACAAATCCAGCACAATTTTAAAAGGAAACAGACTCTTCCTTATTTGATATTTTCTATAGTTTTAGCTGGAATACACCATGCTTTTATACACTTGAAAAAATTCACGGTGAAAATCCTGCCCCCTCCCTCCCATATTCCAGCCTTTTCTTCTTTTGTAAGGATGCTTCTGCACTTAATTTTTTCCCAAAGGAAAACAATTATCTCTAAATTTAAGCAGGATCACAGATTTTACCTAGCTATTAAAATTTCTCTCTCTGTGCTGGGTTTTTTTTTGTGCTTCAATTCAATAAGCCCCTTTCAGAAGTCAAGCTTAAACTGCCAGTCATTCTCTATGGCAACTCACACTAATCTGTAAAAGCCTGTCAGCTAAAACAGAACAGAACATAATTTTCCTTAAATACAGAACACCACCCCAGCTAGATATGCACAAGTAATCACAAATAAATGCCCTGATAAAGCTATTAGCTAAAGGAGCTTTAAATAAAGAGACGATTAAAATTAGACACGCAGCTTTATCTCCTACAGCCCTGAAACCATGAATGAGAATTTTGCTCGCTGGCTTTCGGAAGGTTCAGATCAAGCAAATAAGACCTTATTTAAGGGGAATGTGAGTCACCCCTCAGCTGCCCCACAAGGGGAATTTCTGACTGCTCAGCCCCTCGGAAAGCCTGGTTCAGGGTGTGGGTGCTGCTGCTGCTGTGTGACCACGGGGCAGCGCAGGAGTCAGGGCAGGAGCTGTGTCAGAGCCAGAGCGGCGGGCACGGTGCTGCCACACGCCTCTCCAGAAGCACCACGGTGTTCTGAGGCCAGGTCTGCACACCCCACAAATGCAGTTCCTCACAAACAGCTCCAGGAGCCCATCCTCAGCTCAGTCACACGCTGGGGAGGTGTCTCGGCACCTCCTCACACGCTGTGCACAGAGAGAGGAGCCAGCACACAAAAAAGGGAGAGCTACTGTACAGCACCAACAAGTGTTTCACAGAGCTACACAGAAGGCTGGCTAACACTCAGGGTCAAGGGTTTTAAAGGTCTTTCCCAGCCTTAGCAAGTCCATGATTCTGCGCTACATAAAGTAATTTGTTTCATTAACTAAGAAGTAACGAGTAAATTACAAAAGCAGCACACAACAACTAGAGTTCCAGGTAACCTAAGCACCAGAACAAGAACTCCGAAGGGAGGTAAATCCCAAAGACAAAAGAAGTTCAGATTGATAGGTAATTACAACAGCCTTTCAAAGTTGTCTCTCGGAGAAGGATAACCAGCTGCTCCCTGCCTGCAGGCAGATGCAGACCTGAACAAACTCCGGCACTGCTCACGCTGCCTCCCCACGGCAGCTCAGAAATGCAGCCCGTGCAATAAAACACAGGACACGGAGCAGCTGTGCAACGCTGGAAATGCAGCAGGGCTGGCACAGCCTCACTGCAAGGCCTGTGGCTGGCTCTGCCAGAAAGGGTTACCTGAACAACAGAGGGATCCCAAAAGGGCGAGCTGCCCTCCCAGCGCCGCCCTGCCGAGCTGGAATCACACACAGCTGCCTTACCTACGGGAGAGAAGCTGCCAGGAGACTGCCCTCGCCCTACTTATACTTGTCTTGGGGGCAGGAATGCAAAACAGGCCCCGTGCTGACCCAGACTGGGCCACTGTTTTTGGATCAGCTGGGACACGCTCTCTCCAAACAGCGATTATCTTACTGCTGTGACCAGATAACGCAGACAAGGTCTCACACTCAGCATCCTCTGCACAAGCCCGGGAGGGCATTCCCGTCTGGGCAAGCGAGGTGCTCCTGATCAGCCAGAGAACACCAGGCGATGCACAAGAAGCAGATGAGGGGATAAACAGTGCATTTATGGAACAGAAATCCAGCATTCCACCTCGTGCCGCACCAGCAAGACAGCGCTACAGGCTAGCACAGCCCAGGAACAAAGTGCCAAAAAACACGGCTTCCCAACACTCCCAGCAACTCTTCAGGCAGCAAATTAAGTATTAAGAGATAGGATCACTTGGACAGCCTCGCCTGAGGCCCTTGAGTCGCTGAGGTATGTTTCAGTTTGAGTTCTACAGAACAACAGGCAGACACACACACACACAGAGCCTGAAGAAGGGGGCTTAGAAACAGAAAAAAGTGTTTCTGATTTTCATGGTTAGGAAAAAAAGCTCACATGGATTTCACCTCCTTGCCTTTATGGAGGTATTACTACAGCTGTGCAGAAGCTCCTCTGAGGCACAAAGGGCAGGGGCTGCTAAAAGTCTCCAAAACCTTACTAAACCCCAGTCAAAGCGCTCTAGTCATTCAGCCATGCAAACGTTTAAACTTAGCTGAAAAACCCCTTCATCCAAACAATTCCCATTTTCAACACTGTGATCCAGCTGAGCTCTGCCCTGGAGCTACAAACACAGACCCTTAAAAAACACTCACATCTTTCCTACATGCTAAAAGCAACCTTAGAGTAACACTCTCACCACTGAGAAGCAGTTTCCCTTCCCCCTCGCCCCCCACGGAAGCCACACGTGGCAATCTGGGGCAAACCACCAAGCCTAGGGCAGCCAGCAGCAGCCGCAGCGGGCAGGGAGCTGGAGTAGGGACAGAGCCCAGGGGAACCAAACCCGGCACCCAGCAGGCACAGCGGGAGCTGGAGTAGGGACACAGCCCAGGGGAACCAAACCCAGCACCCAGCAGCCGCAGCGGGCAGGGAGCTGGAGTAGGGACAGAGCCCAGGGGAACCAAACCCGGCACCCAGCAGGCACAGCGGGAGCTGGAGTAGGGACAGAGCCCAGGGGAACCAAACCCGGCACCCAGCAGGCACAGCGGGAGCTGGAGTAGGGACAGAGCCCAGGGGAACCAAACCCGGCACCCAGCAGGCACAGCGGGCAGGGAGCTGGAGTCAGGACAGAGCCCAGGGGAACCCAACCCGGCACCCACCCGCGCGCACAGCGGGGCCCGGCCAGCGCCGCTGCACCATCAGGGTCACCAAGGGGCTCGCTCTGAAAAGGCAGCAGCACAAACCCCACGGGCACTGCCCCCTCCAGCCCACCTCATGTGCCTCATTCCTCCACTTCCTGCAGCAAACCAGGGATTTCTCAAACGTGGGGACACTCGGGAGCCTTCGCTGCTCACAGGGAAATTTACGTGAGGAGTAGTGTGACCTAACACTTGTTTGTAAGAGCCAGGCTGCTGAACGCTGTGCTTAAGAAAAAAATAATAAAAAATAAAATAGCACAACTGGAAAAACAGCTCCTGCAGGTGTCAGGGCGGCAGTGGCCCTCTGTAAAGGTGTGCTGGAGAGAGGGAAGCAGTGCTGGCACAGGCGCATGCAGGGTGCTGGCAGGAAGGCTGATGAACACACCAGGGCAGCACACTGCATCCACCACGGATCTGAGACTGCCACTGCTGAGTAAGAAATGCACACACTCCCAGAAGGCTGCTGGCATACAGCCTGGTCTTTACTTTGGATCCTCTTTTATACTTTGTTCCCATACAGAGAGACCTGGTTGGTCAATTAATCAATACATTTCACCTGACTGGCTAATTAACAAAACACCTTCCTCATTAACAATCTTTGAGAAAAACAATGAAACAGAGAGTAGGAAAACATCACCTGCAGGTTATTTATGACAATAAGCTATCATTGTTTATCTTCAGCTCCCTAAAAGTCTCTCAGACTGATTCTGGTAAACCTTATCTTGTTTTTTCCCTCTGTGACCAGGGTGTCACACCCACAGAGCCCGAGTGCACCTCGTGATGGAAATCCAGCCAGCCTGTGGAGTCAGAATCAAAGAAAAAAGGGTTTTGCACATGCTGCCGTGGCACGCCTGGGGCTCAGGAAGGCCGTGAGCAGCGAGGCAGAGAGGGAACTGCCCTCTTCTTGCACAAACTAACCCTCAGCCCAGCACTAAATCCGGGCAGGGGCGGGTGTCACCAGCAGGACGGGCAATGTGACGGATGTGACACCAGCCTGCGTGTCCCACAGCGTTCCCCGGGTGAATTCCTGCCCTCAGTACAAATGTGGCAGGCCTGGGGCACGGTCCCATGCCCAGGCTGCCAAGGGCCTGAGCGCTGCAGGTCTGCAGCAGAACGCTTCTCCAGAGCCACGCCTGCAGGGAACGCCGCTGCCATGGGCCCAAGAGAACACCTTCCACCAGGGCAAGGAAACAAAGCCACGCACGCCAAACAAAGCCAGGAGGACAGCGCGAGCCTGGCCGTGCCAGAGGGAAGGATGTGGGGGATGCAGCTCTGGGGGGTGAGCAGGGAAACGAACTAATGCACAACACACCTGAAAGAACGAAACTGCACCTCCAAGCTGCGACCACAAAGCAATTTCTGGGAAAGTGTATCTAAGGAAAAAGAAGAATTGCTTCCTCCAAGCCGCCAGCGATGCTCTGGGAGCGTGATTCACGAGTAACAGCCAGATCTCCAGCATTCTGATCCCAGGCAGTAACGCGACACTAACGAACCGGCTAATTAGAATAGCGTGCAAATTGACGTCCTGCTAGAACATTTCACACCAGAAAGGCTCCTGCATCAGCTGCTGCCTCCAGAATTAGACAAACACAGAGATGCCAGGAATACACTCGATGGCTTTTAACCACCACCACATTGCTCTGGAGTTTTGCTGTTTAATAATGCAACGGCAGAAGTTTTATGATAAACACGATAGAGGAAAAACCATAAATCAATAAAACAAAAAGGAGCTTGTGATTTGATGAAGATATGAGTAAGTGATTAAAGTGCAGATACTTTCCAGCACATCAGATTATTATCTACTTGCCCCACGGGTGAACAGCAGCAAAATGCTTGCTTCCAAACCTTCCCTCTGAGGCACGGGAAAAGCTAACCCTGCACCAACGACGTGACTGCACCACGAGTTTTAAACCCCAGGAATTCTACACATTTCTTTGGTCTTTCTGATTTCCACGTTTTGAGAAAGCACACAGCTGAAAAACAACTCCTCCTTTCAGTACAAACCTCGGCATGGTCAGAGCAGGGAGATCGGCACACCGCGGCACATGACCTCCTGTGCCACTGGAGCCACACAGCTCAGCCTGGGGACAGTCCCTGTGCCACCCTGCACAGGGACACAGCTCACTGGGGACAGTCCCTGTGCCACCCTGCAGCAGAAGGGACAGAGGAGCCTGCCCA